AGTAGAGCTTGTATAGCACAGTTGTTACATTACAGGGGAATAACTAGAAAAAAAAATGACTTAAAGTAGAAACAGAGGTTAAGATATTCAAATAATAGCATGACAAGGACCTGGGAATTTTTTTTTTTTTTTGAGACGAAGTTTTGCTCTTGTTACCCAGGCTGGAATGCAATGACGCGATCTCGGCTCACTGCAACCTCCGCCTCCTGGGTTCAGGCAATTCTCCTGCCTCGACCTCGCAAGTAGCTGGGATTACAGGCATGCGCCACCATGCCCAGCTAATTTTTTGTATTTTTAGTAGAGACGGGGTTTCACCATGTTGACCAGGATGGTCTCGATCTCTTGACCTCGTGATCCACCCGCCTTGGCCTCCCAAAGTGCTGGGATTACAGGCTTGAGCCACCTCGCCCGGCCAGGACGTGGGAATTTTGAGGTTTAAATCTAATAAGACAGGCTTAAGAGTAGAGTCTCTGCTCTAGGGCTTGAGCTTTGGCAGTACCAGGCTGGTTAACTTGTCGTGGTATCAGCTTGCAAATGTTCTGTTGAAGCTGTACCAAATGAGATTCAGGGATTCTGATTTAGCTGACACTGAATGAATGCTTGTCATATACTTGGCACTGGTCGTGGACAAGACACAATCTCTGCCTTATTAAGGAGATTCAGAAGTAGTCATGGGAAGAAAATAAGGGACTAATATACAAGGAACTAAGTGCTTTCATGGAGATATAGGAGATTTGCTGCAGATGTACCCAGAGGAGTGCTGTTAACTTTGGCTAGAAGCAAGGCTTCCTGAAGAAGGTAGCATTTTCAAGAAATGCCATCAATGGGACATCAGATGTTGGCAAAGAGGACGCAAACTAGAGGGGAGGGTGAACATTCCATTTAGGATTTGGGGTTTGGTGACAGTGAAAGGTTTGAAGTAGCCCCTTTTCTTCTGTCTTCTCTCCCCTTCTCCTGAGCAGATTGGAGTTTAAACTCAGGTAGAATTTAGTCTTCATGGGTTAGAGGAGGCTGTTTCACCACTGAGGATGCAAGGGCTCAGGACTCTTTTATAGCCAGTGTTCATGGTGGGTGGCTTTGGGATTCTGGGATAAGGTGAGTGTCTCTACTCCACTCCTTGCCCTTCAGCCTGCAAAAGTGGACTCCAGTGGTTTCCTGCTTGCAAAAGTGGTAGGCTCAGCAAGGGTATATTTCTGTGGTGGGATTGAGGAAGGTTGTTTAGGTGAGGCAAGGTGCAAATGACCTCAGGCCTTCGACCCTTATTGAATCCTTCTTAGACTCATCCTTGTCCCCCCTCACCACCCAAGGAATTAAAAAAATTCCTGAGACATTAACAAAAAAGCAAATGATAATAGAAAACATCTGTATACTGTTTACTGTGTCACTGACTGTTCCAAACACTCTGCATGTATTGAGTACCTGAAATCTCACACCAACTCTATGAATTAGGTATTATTAGTAAACCTATATATGGAAACAGGCAATTTTTAATAGAGTAATTATGGGTATTTTGGCTTCAAATACAGGCTTTTGCTTGGATACTTCTTTTTCTCTCAACAAAGGCTAATCCCCTGCTTCCCCCGCCCGAATCCTGAGCCTGCCTCTCCTTGTGCTTTCTCAACAATGCCTTATTTTCCCTTTTCCCATCTAATAACATTCAGTACACAGTTTTAGGTAACTGGACTTGAGGGCCACGAGAGTAGGGCCTTGTCTTTGTTCAGTGACTTTCCCTGGTGTGTAGTCCTCAGAAGGCACTTGTTGAATGTTAATGGAATCATTGAAGAAACTGAAGGCATTTTCAGACATACTATACATAGTTGTGGTTTCACATTCTGGCAGCTTTAAAAGCCACTGCATCCCTCATTGCATGGGCTGGGTCAGGTTGAAAAGCTCAGTGAACTCTTCTTCTTCTTATTGTCCATCCAGGATTTGAGGTGCCATTCTCCTTGGGCCTAGGTTTCCCCTTCAGTGTCATCAGCGTCAGCTCCCGGGCCCAAGGCCTGGTCATCTTATGTGCCTGTGATCTGCTTTCTGGGTAGTGCCCAAACTTGACGGCCCAAACCCATTGGGGTTTGCAAAAAAGTGTAAGATGCAATATACACAACTATTAAGGAAAATATTGAAAGAGCATCATTTTGTGAAGATACTTGTTTTACCTAATATTCCACAGATAGTAACAACTAGTAGAAATAAGTGTGTCAAACTGTATTTTTCTAGGTACTTTCACACTATGAAAATTTATTCAACAATTATATTTTCTGAGAATCGAGTCATATTTGATTATCAAGGAGAGCACCCAACACCAATTCAGTAATAAAAATGTCTAACCTCAAATAACAAGTTAATTAATTACTAAGGAAAAATCCTAAACTTAAAGTAAAAAATAGAGTAGTGCAATTTTTCAGAAGGCCAACGTATTGCTTTCTTGCATTACGTATTGAATTCCTTGCAGCCACTTCCATCTGTATGGCTTTTCCCCAATTATAATTTTCTCCACAAATGACCAAGGTGTTTACCTAACTGTCCTTTTCTTAAATTCTGTTATGATTAGTGACCATACAAGCCTGTTTTAATATCTAAGATAATAATTTAAATTTTAATTTAATCTAACTCATGAGTTTAACATTACCGTGAATAATTTTATAAGCAATAAAACAAGATAAAAATATCAACTTACCATTATATTAAAACTAAGCTCTTCAATTATACATCCGAAGATGATAGGTAATTCTCCTCAGCTTCATAGGGCCACAAGTTTTCAACTGACTGTTAGGCTCAGGAAGCAAATTTGTGCCAATTAGACCATAAAATAAAGACATTCTCTATATCAATTCAAGAGATACAAATAAGTAATATCCTGAAGGGAGAATTATTTCTCATTGAGGTTGTCTTCATAGTGTAAAACCTTTTCTTGAAAATTTAAAACAGTACTTAATTCAGTTTAAAATGTCTGACAAAATTGTATAGATATTGACATGAACTAATGCAAAATCCCTAATGACCAGCAAAATTTATAACTGCCAATCTTTAAGACTAAAAAAGCTAACAAATCAATAATCCCTTACTAAGGTCTTATCTCTGCCTACAATATGAAATGGAAAGAAGACTTAATAGACAATATCTATGCTTAAGCAAGTTGCACTCTAGCGGTGGTGGCTGGAATATACATTCCCAATTTAATACTAACAATATACCTACAAATATGGGTAAATAGAGTGTCACAGGGGTTTAGTGTACAGACTATTTTGTCACCCAGATAATGAGCACAGTATTCCCTAGGTAGTTTTTCAGTCCTCACCCTCCTCCCACCCTTCACCCTCAAGTAGGTGTCTAATGGTCCCTTCTTTGTGTTCATGCATACTCAATGTTTAGCTCCCACTTATAAGTATGAACATGTAGTGTTTAATTTTCTGTTCCTGGGTTAATTTGCTGGGATAATGGCCTCCAGCTCCATCCATGTTGCTGAAAAGGACATGATTTTATTCTTTTTTTTATGGCTGCATAATATTCAATGGTGCATATTTACCACACCTTTATCCAGTATACTGCTGATGGGCAACTAAGTTGATTCCATGTCCTTGTTACTGTGAAAAGTGTTGTGATGAACATATGCATATATGTGTCTTTATGTTAGAATGATTTATATTCTTTTGGGTATATACCAAGCCATGGTATTTCTGGGTTGAATGGCAGTTCTCTTTTAAGTCCTTTGAGAAATCTCCAAACTGCTTTCCACTAGCTGAACTAATTTACGTTTCCACCAGCAGTATATAAGCATTCCCTTTTCTCTGCAACCTTGCCAGCATCTGTTATTTTTTAGCTTTTTACTAATAGCCATTCTGACTGGTCTGAGATGGTATCTCATTTTGGTTCTGATTTGAATTTCTCTAACTATTAGTTGCATTGAACATCTTTTCATATGCTCGTTGACCATGTGTATGTCTTATCGGAAGTGTCTGTTCATGTTCTTTGACCGTTTTTAATGGGGTTGTTTGGTTTTGCTTGTTGATTTGTTTCAACTAATACTGAAAGATTCTAGTATTAGTCCTTTGTGGGATGCATAGTTTGCAAATATTTTCTCCCATTCTGTAGGTTGTCTGTTTACTCTGTTGATGGCCTTACCCTGGGAGGGACTCTGATGTCCCAGAAACCCTGGACATAGACACCAAGGGACTGGTTTTATCATGTAGTAAATCCCCTTATCCCTCTGAGTCTGTTCCCCCACTTGTGAGTCAGGATCCTACATGCATGTACCCTCACGGGGTTGTGATGGGTACTCTGTAAATTGTCAAATGCTAACCATGTATCAGGTCTTATTCTTCATATCACAGCAGTTCATGTGAAAATGGAAAGGGAAAAGCTGAAGACTTCCCAGCCAGAGGTTTCATGCAGTCTTACCCTTTACCCAAGCGGTTCACAGAAAGCATAAAGAGGGTGATTTCACAACCATCTTATCTGAAACAAAGCAATAGGAACAATAATAGCAGCTAACATTTGAGTGTGGTGCCAAGCTCCTTAAAATGAATTCTTTTCTATTCAATCTTCTGGCAACCCTATGAGAAATTAGTCTCTCAGTCCAGTTTCACTATGAGGTAGGTGGTTAAGTGACCTCCCCAAGGTCTCATGGCAAAAGACAGAATGAGTGATCTGACCCAAGTCCTACACTCCTGCCTTCTCATGTTTCAGCAACCCGGGAGGAGAGAGCATGTATCCTGAATTTTTTTAAAAAAGGATCTATCATTGCTTAGAGCTTCACATTTTATAGTAGGTGTGTCCTGAGTAAGCGCACACCTATGGCTGTGGGATCCCTTTTCAGGAGGGCAATCTTAATTACCTAGTGACCTGGCTTAGTTGGGCCAAGGTGCTGGGGGAAGGATGAGGTCATCTGGGGGCCTTTCCAACACAGTGACACTTGGGACAAGCTGTCTACACTGGAGGAAGCATCAGTGCTGCCTGTGGAAGTACCACAGAACATTGACACAGGGTCTCTTTCTCTGCAGGTGCTACTTTTTTGCCCACACTTAAGTGACACAAAATGCCGTTCAATGGTGAGAAGCAGTGTGTGGGAGAGGACCAGCCAAGTGATTCTGATTCTTCCCGGTTTTCTGAAAGCATGGCATCGCTCAGTGACTATGAGTGCTCCAGGCAGAGCTTTACAAGTGACTCCTCCAGCAAATCCAGCTCTCCTGCTTGTGAGCCAATGGGGGAACAGGGGTTGGGGGTGGCGGGGGGTACTTCTAGTTATGTGTTGGATTTGAAAACTCAGAAATGCCTGAGAGCAACAGACTTCCCCCTTTTTTCTAGATGCACCAGAATAGCACCGCAGAAGCACTGCAGCTTTCCTGGACACGTTCTCAGAAATAAATAGCCACTCAAGTTTACAACCTACTGATTTTTATTTTGATCACTGCCTCTGATCTGCTTTGATCTGACCATAAATCAGGACTTCAACCCCATCTGTCTTTTCTCCCAAATGGCAGAAAGCCATTCCTTGAGGTTACCCTGCTCAAGGATAAATGCAAATTGGTCATTTCTGATGATTCCTGACTTAAACTGAAGGAAACTGGCCTTCACTGAAAGGTCAGGAAGGAAGTGAAATAATGTAAAGGGTTTCATGTTGATTTCAAAAATATTGTGCAAATCACCCCAGGAAGGTGCCCACGAGGATAATTACCACATTAGGGGTGTGAGAAAGAGTTAAAAGAGAGGCCACAGCAAAAGGAGGTATCTTTTTCCCTTTTTTGTCTGTAGAAACTAGAGATGTGTAAAGCAGATGTGTTTGCCTTTTTTTTTAATTGGCACTTCAGTAAGTATAACACCTTTAACTGACAAAGCAAATGCAAGAAAAAGCAACTGATATTTAATATGCTAAACTCTCCACTTCTTATAAATTGCTTCATTTGTATTTTAAATTTTTACATTTTCATTTTTTAAAACTTAGAAGATACATAAGAATAGAGAAAAGAAAACATTGCCTATGATATCACCCAGAGACGACAGCTGGCAGTGCTTTGCCACATCTTTATCCTTCGCATAGACATATGTGTGTATATATGTGTGGACTCTTCTCACTTAGTATTATAACTAAAACATTTACTCATGATTATGTGTTTTTGAGACATTGTTTTTATGAATACCCACTACTTCATCAAGTGAATATACTGTAAACTCAACCATTGAGTGATCATTGGACATTTAGTTAGTTTCCATTTTTTTGCTGTTATAAATAGTGCTTTATGAACGTCTTAGTGCATGAAGCCTTTCTGGAAAGTCTTTTGTATATCACTGAATTATTGGACGAAAGTATATAGACTTTTTTTTTTTGAGACGGAGTTTCGCTGTTGTTACCCAGACTGGAGTGCAATGGCGCGATCTCGGCTCACTGCAACCTCTGCCTTCTGGGTTCAAGCAATTCTCCTGCCTCAGCCTCCCGAGTAGCTGGGACTGCAGGCGTGCACCACCACGCCCAGCTAATTTTTTGTATTTTTAGTAGAGACGGGGTTTCACCATGTTGACCAGGATGGTCTCGATCTCTTGACCTCGTGATCCACCTGCCTCGACCCCCAAAGTGCTGGGATTATAGGCATGAGCCACCGCGCCTGGCCTATATAGACATTTTTAAGGAGAATCTTGAGTCAGAGCTGGCAGAAGAAATTGACAGCAGCCACCGCAGATTTCTGTGCCATTTCTCTCTCTTTATACTGTATATGGGGTTGGCACATCTGACATCAGGGTACCTAGACATCCTGAAGAAGGGTTTTACCAATTCTGTGTATCACCTTTCTCTTCTTCCTCCTCTTTCCCTATTCCTCCTCATCATCATCTTTCCTTTTTTTTTTTGAGACAGAGTCTTGCTCTGTCGCCAGGGTGGAGTGCAGTGGTGCGATCTCTGCTCACTGCAACCTCCACCTCCAAAGTTCGTTATTCTTCTGCCTCAGCCTCCCAAGTAGCCTGGCGACAGAGCGAGACTCCATCTCAAATAAATAAATATTACAGTTTTAAAAATCCGTTATTTTATGTTGAGTCTACTTGATGAGACTCCTGAATTACAAAATAAAAAATAATCTTATCAATTTCCTATACATGTAATAAGTGTAGGTTTCAATGGGCACTAAAAATGAGGTAATTTAATTTTTAAAAGTAACTTATAATAGGCCTATATCAATAAGATGGTCTCAGAAATATTTGAGACAATATTATCAAATATGGTAACTGAAGCTATTGAAGGAGTTCTTAATTTTTTTAAACCTTTATTAAGTGGGGGAATTCACCTGTTTTAGTATTTAGTATTTAGTCTCCTTACTTATAAAACTCTGCAGTATATACATTCTGATAAATTAAACTTTATCTGCACCAGGATGCTTTGTTGGATGACAACTTCTCTTCCACATCAACTGGCTTTTGTTTTTCTTTCAGCAACAAGCCCTCCAAGGGTTGTAACATTTGATGAGGTGATGGCTGCAACAAGGAACTTATCAAACATGACTCTTGCTCATGAGATTGCGGTAAATGAGAACTTTCAATTGAAACAGGAGGCCCTCCCAGAAAACAGGTAACCTGGGGGCATTTTTTGTATATAAACTATGCTGAAGATTGTGTGTGTGTGTGTGTGTGTGTGTGTGTGTGTGTGTGTGTGATGAATATACACATACTCAAACTGATTTCTGGAAGTTCTTATATAATATTCTCAGGGGTAAACATTTAGTTCTCTAACAAAGTCTTATACTTATTTTTTAAAAATTCTGGGCCAGGCACTGTGGCTCATGCCTGTAATCCCAGCATTTTGGGAGGCTGAGACCGGTGGATCACCTGAAGTCAGGAGGTCGAGAGACCAGCCTGGCCAACATGGTAAAACCCCGTCTCTACTAAAAATACGAAAATTAGCCGGATGTGATGGCGGGCACCTGTAATCCCAGCTACTTGGGAAGCTGAGGTAGGAGAATCCCTTGAACCCATGGGGCAGAGGTTGCAGTGAGCTAAAATGGCACCATTGCACTCCAGCCTGGGTGACAAGTGCAAGACTCTGTCTTTAAAAAAAAAATTCTGGCTGGGCATGGTAGCTCACACCTGTAACCCCAGCCCTTTGGGAGGTGGAGGCAGGAGGATTGCTTGAAGCCAGGAGTTTGAGACTGGCATTGGCACCAAAGCAAGACACCATCCCTACAAAAAATAACAATATTATCCAGCATGGTGGCATGAGCCTGTAGTTAAAGCCACCTGGAAGACTGAGTCAAAAAGATCATTTGCGCCCAGGAGGTTGGGGACTTCACTGAGCTCTCATCATGCCACTACACTCCAGCCTGGGTGACAGAGCAAGACTCTGTCTCAAAAAACAAAAATTCCCATTTGTAACCAGCCCAGCCAACATGGTGAAACCCCATTGCTACTAAAAATACAAAAATTAGCTGGCGTGGTGGCAGGGTGCCTGTAATCCCAGCTACTAGGGAGGCTGAGGCAAGAGAATTGCTTGAACCCAGGAGGTGGAGGTTTCAGTGAGCCGAGATCATGCCACTGGACTCCAGCCTGGGTGACAGAGTGAGATTCAGTCTTTTTTTTTTTTTTTTTTTTTGAGACGGAGTTTCGCTCTTGTTACCCAAGCTGGAGTGCAGTGGCGCGATCTCGGATCACCACAACCTCCGCCTCCTGGGTTCAGGCAATTCTCCTGCCTCAGCCTCCTTAGTAGCTGGGGTTACAGGCACGCGCCACCATGCTCAGCTAATTTTTTGTATTTTTAGTAGAGACGGGGTTTCACCATGTTGACCAGGATGGTCTCGATCTCTTGACCTCGTGATCCTCCCGCTTTGGCCTCCCAAAGTGCTGGGATTACAGGCGTGAGCAACTGTGCTCGGCCTGTGAGACTCAGTCTTAAAAAAAAATCCTAGGATACATATTACCCATAATCTTTAGAACTCAGTTTATATGTCACCTCCTGAGGGAAGCTTTTTCTGACATTCCTGAACCCCCAGACTACAATTAATCCCTTTGCTAGAGACGCCTGTCGCCCTTGCTGCCTCCCTTTTGCTAAGAGGTCTTACATTTTATGTTGGATGTCCATCTTCCTCACTTGATTGAAATGCACCATTTATGGAGGAGCTATGTCTGTATTGTTTGTTGCTGTATCCCTGTTGCCTAGCATAGTCCCTGACATGCAGTACAGGCCCAAGAAATATTTGCAGATTGATTTATTGAAAACTGATATTCAAGTTTGAAAAATAAATAAATGCATCTGAACTGTTAAAGTGCTAAAAGTAGGCAATCCAGAAATGTCTGGAAGTAGGAATCCCAGCTGCAAGGGGCACTTCCTGGGTAAATCTCACCCTTCAACCTCTAGTTGGAGTCACCCCTTTGGATCCTACTTCATCCTTTCTGCAGTCAGTGGCTCGATTTCCTGGGACAAAGAGGAGAAGAGGCTTGAGACTGTTACAGATCAACCATCTTTAGAAGCAAAGTCGGTTTATGGATTGCATATTCAGCCTCACATTACCAGTTATAAATCCTGAGGCATTCTGTCAGTTAAGACAACTTAAAATATTTGATCCTGTTTAGAACTTTTTTCATTTGTTTTAAAGCAGAAAAAGTAAAGTAAGTAAAAGTAATCATCTTTCTTCTTTAAAATGTGGATCGTAGTCCTCCAGGGGATGTTGTTCATATAATATTAATATTTTTTAAGCTTGCCATCTATCGTGGGTATATCTGTTTGGTTTCCTTTGGTAACTGCATTTCGCCATGACCTTTGATACCAGGTCTGCTGCTACAACCCTAGGCTAGGCCACGATCATCTCTGGCCTGGACTCTTTCACTCCTAACTAGTAGCCCTGTCTCCATTCTTAGCGCCCCACCGTTCATCTTCCATATCCACACAGTAGCCTTAATTATCTTTTTAAAGAATAAGCTATATTAGATGATTTATTTGCCAAAACCCTTCAGTGGTTTTCTATTACTCAGAGACTAAAAATGGAAACGTTTCCATATGGCCTGGATGACTCCACTCCCCTGACCCTGTCTCAGTGCTGTCCCTCCGGCTTTGCTCTGCTTTAGCCATGCTGGCTTCCTTCCTGACCTCAGGGTTCACCAACCTGGATCTTGTCTCAGAAACTTTGTTCATGGGACTTCTTCTTTTGAGATGGTCTCATTCTGTCGCCCAGGCTGGAGTGCAGTGGCGCCATCTAGGCTCACTGCAACCTCCTCCTCCTGGATTCAAGTGATTTTCTTGCCTCAGCCTCCAAATAGCGGGAACTACAGGTGTGCGCCACCACACCTGGCTAATCTTTGTATTTTTTAGTAGAGACAGGATTTCACCATATTGAACAGGCTGGTCTCAAACTCCTAACCTCATGATCCGCCTGCCATGGCCTCCCAAAATGCTGGGATTACAGCCGTGAGCCACTGTGCCCAGCCCACTTCTTCTTTTTGAATTTCTTTTCCCAGACCTTCACGTGGTTCTTTCCCTCTCCCCCTTCAAGTCTGAACACAAAGGTCACTGACTTAAAGAGGCCTTAAGATGGTTACATCCAATGAAATCAGCACCCTCTCCATAACCGTCCACCACATTGTCTTACTGTATCATTCTCGTAGGTCTAAAATTGTCATTCATTTTTAATGTGTTTGCCTTTTTATCCATGCTTACATACAAATGCAGTCTTTTCACTGCAGTATCTGCAGTTCCTATTACAGGGCCCCACATATATTGGATGTTCAATAAACATTTATTGACTAATACAAATGAATTTTAAAGTTAAAATTTGTATTTTTTATGAAGTAAAACAAAAGACAGGGCATATCTGTACTTTAAATTCAAAAGTGGTAAATACAGGCCATAGTGAAGGTGCTTTAGGCTCAGACAGACCCTGGGGTTTGAATCCTGGCTTTACTGAGGCCATACCTGAACTTCACACTTCCCAAGGATAAGATGGGGACTACACTACTCACTTCAAATGCATGCTCACTAGCATAAAATTGCCTTGCACAAAAATACTTTGATACTATGGAAAATATTGATCTTTCTTCCCTTCAGTTTCTGCCACGGCTAGAAAACGTGAGCAAGGGAAACAAAGTGCAGAGTTAGGACACATTGCCTTTGTTTAAAAATAAAGTCTCAGCCGGGCACAGTGGCTCACACCTGTAATCCCAGCACTTTGGGAGGCTGAAGTGGTGGATGACCTGAGTTCAGGAGTTCAAGACCAGCCTGCCCAACATGGTAAAACTCTGTCTCTACTAAAAATACAAAAATTAGCTGGGTGTGGTGGTGTGTGCCTGTAATCCCAGCTACTCGGAAGGCTGAGGCATGAGAATCACTTGGACGCAGGAGGCAGAGTCTGCTGTAAGCTGAGATTGTGTCACTGCACTCCAGCCTGGGCAACAGAGCAAGACCCTGTCTCAAAAAAATAAATAAATAAAGTCTCATATCACAGTATTAACTATTGATTTTCATATGACCCTCCACAATGGCCACGTTTTTCCTTTTTTGATTATGGCTAACTCATATTTTATCAAATATTTTCCTGGTAAAATCCATCAGGTTTTACCAGGAAATAATAGGAATGCTTATAAATGATTTTAAGCAAGTCCCTCCCTGCCCCCATACTTTCCCAGAAAATTAAAGAGATACAAAGTACCTTGCAGACTTTAGGAAAACTTAAATTTCAACTCTGACGTCCCTTAGGGACCTATAAAAATGTTTTAGCTCATTTCTTGTTGTTCATTCAAGCCAGGTATGTATGGCTTATAAAGTCAAGAGCAAAAGTCCATCCTAGCAATGTTTGCCTTTCTCGTTGTTCTGGAGTGTTCCTGGAGAGTCTCAAACTTTGGAAATGGCATTTATATTGAACAAATTTCCTCATGCAATTAGAATAAGTTTTAATATTTAAAATTGCCGAGTAGAATGTAATATTTGTAGTTACAAACTTTAACTCATGTTTCGAAAGCTAATTTTCCTCTTTCATAGCATTATTGTATATGTAGCTATTTATACTTTAAGAAGAAAAATTAGGAGATATACTTATCAAATTATGAATTCATTCACCATGCATTTGTCAAGTACTCACTATATATCAGGCACTGTGTTAGGCACAATGGTAAGTACCTAGATGGACTTACAGACTCTGCTTGGGAAAGGTATATCTCTGTGGGAAAACAGCTTCATCAGAAATTACAGTGCAGAGACATAGGTGGTTCCCTAAAAGCTGTTGCTAAATGGCATAGGAGTTAGGTAGGAATGTGTATTTTAATGTGCACCTATTTTAAGGCATTGACATAAAGGGTGAAGCCAAGTAGCCACTTATTCTATTGTAAGCTCTTCCTAGGAAGGCTTCTATTTTGGCAGTTTGGTCTGGCTGTCTTTAAATGGGACACCTAAGCTTTAGCTGGCAGGCGTTCAAATGCATGTGCCCTTGGGGCTAATGTGTTCTAGTCCATGCCATGAAATTTCAGCTGGTGAGGAAGAGCAACTTTGCCATCTCATTCCAAAAATGTAGAACAAGTCTGAAGATCTATATAGAAGAGTAGATACATAAATTTTGAAATCTCTTTAGGACAGAATTTTATGAAGTTATTGAAAGCATTTTCAAGGTCTAGGGAAAACAGTACAGAATGCTAAATGAAAAGTACACTCTGTTAATGCATTCAACAAGAAACATATTCAAAAGATTAATAATGGGATTAAGGGCAATTGCTCTGCTTTTTAAAATATTTTCTAAGATTTCTACAGTGAGGATATTTCTTGTATAATCAGGAAAAACAATGATGATTATTTTAAACAACAATCCCTTTCATTGCTATAGTTTGGCTGGTCGCGTGAAGCACATTGTTCACCAGGCCTTCTGGGACGTCTTGGCTTCAGAACTAAATGCTGACCCTCCTGAGTTTGAACATGCCATCAAACTGTTCGAAGAAATCAGAGAGGCAAGTTGCTGTTTCGTTTGCGTCAGTTAGTGTCTTACTCCAGGTGGGCTGCTGTAACAGACTGGCATAGCCTGGGTGGCTTATGAACAATATAAATTTATTTCTCACAGTACTGGAGGTTAGGAAGTCCAAGATCAGAGCACCAGCAGATTTGGCATCTGGTGAGGGCTCATTTCCTGAGTGAGCTCATAGGTGGTGCCTTCTTGCTGTGTCCTCACATGGCAGAAAGGTCAAAGCAGCACTTCAGTGTCTCTTTATAAGGGTACAATTCCATTCATGTGGACCTCACCCTTATGACTTAATCACCTCCCAAAGGCCTCACCTCCTAATTCCATTCCATTGGGGATTGGGTTTCAACATACGAATTTGGTGACAGAAGAAAACACAGATATTGAAAGTATAGCAGTTTTTTCCCCAAAAGATTGTTTTATGTCCTTTAGTATTGGCCACTCTTTTTCACTGGCAGGGTTTACCTTATCCTGCCCCTCCTGGAGTAGAATGAAGGCTGAGAAAATAGTGCCGTGGACACAGCTTAGAGTGATGCTTATAACACAGAGACTCTGGAGTTAGATTGTTGTCCTGGTTTAGTGATGAGTTCTCTCTTTAAGTCTCTATTTCCTGAGTACTTACAGGGTAGTCATAAGAGCTAAATGAGGTGACGGTTGTAATTTTAGTTAACATTTGCAAGGCACTTGCTCTATTTCAAGCACTAGATTGCTCATTTCTTCTTCTTTTTTTTTTGAGACAGAGTTTCGCTCTTGTTACCCAGGCTGGAGTGCAATGGCGCGATCTTGGCTCACTACAACCTTCGCCTCTTGGGTTCAGGCAATTCTCCTGCCTCAGCCTCCTGAGTAGCTGGGATTATAGGCACACGCCACCATGCCCAGCATGGGCATGGTGTATTTGTATTTTTAGTAGAGACGGTGTTTCACCATGTTGACCAGGATGGTCTCGATCTCTTGACCTCGTGATCCACCCACCTCAGCCTCCCAAAGTGCTGGGATTACAGGTGTGAGCCACCGCGCCTGGCCTGCTCATTTCTTTTTATCAGAACACTGTGGAGTCGTTTCTCCTGTTATCCTTATTTTATATATTAAAAAAAACAACTTTTCTGACTCATGCAGGGTCACACAGCTTTGAGGGGTAGAGAGGGACTTGAATTGAGCCACGCTGGCTTAGAGCGCTTGCTTCTAAGCATGTGTTGTGTGGATAAGCACAGTGTCCTTTGTTAACTGAATAATCAAAATGTAGGTTGCTCATATATAATATATATTATATAGGTAAAATATACTTAAGGACTCCATGGGATATTTTCATCTATGCTTTTTTTTTGAGATGGAGTCTTGCTCTGTTGCCCAGGCTGGAGTGTAGTGGCGTTATCTTGGCTAACTGCAACCTCTGCCTTCTGGGTTCAAGTGATTCTTCTGCCTCAGCTTCCCGAGTAGCTGGGACTACAGGTGTGTGCCACCCTGCCCAGCTAATTTTTATATTTTTAGTAGAGACAGCATTTCACCATGTTGGCCAGAATGGTCTCGATCTCCTGACCTCGCGATCCACCCACCTTGGCCTGCCAAAGTGCTGGGATTACAGGCGTGAGCCACCACGCCTGGCCTCATCTATCCTTTTTTAAAGAGTTCTTTTGGAGCAATGATCTGCAACTTGTTCTTTCTTCCCTGAACTTTTACCTGTAGATTTTTTGAAACAAAATGTTTATTTTGTTTCAGATGTTGCATATTGTTTCAGTGTATTTTCTTTATAACATTGATAAGAAAAAAGATTCCTAGCTGGGGCTGCCATCTTTGTGGAGTGTGCATGATCTCCCCATGTCTGCATAGTTTTTCTTTGGCCCACATCCCAAAGATGTGCCTGTTAAGTTCATTGACAAGTCTAAATGGTCTCGGTCTGAGTGAGTGTGGGTATGTGAGTGAGTGCATCCTGTGGTGGGAGGCATCCTGTCCAGGGCTGGTTTCTGCCCTGTGCCCTGGCTGCCAGGGAAGGCTCTGGCCACTTGCAACCCTGAACCGGAGTAAGCAGGTTGGGAAATGAATGAATACAAATTATTGTTAACATAAAAATTCATAAAGTATTCAATAATCATACAGATGCATGACAATAAACAATGTAATATGAAAGTGCTCGTGAGCCTACCATAATTGTTATTATTTACTTTTGAACTGTGTGGTGGAGGAGGTGTTCCTTAACAGTTTTTGTTTGCAAACATTTCTTCTCTGATTTAATCTACCACCGTGGCAGCTGTCACTGATTTACCAAAAATTGGGTAAATAATTATCTTATTTTTTTAATTAATTTTTCTTGTATGTATAGCTCACATTTATCTCAGTGTTTAATATCAGAAGTGTTTTGGATCTTTATTTAGAAGTTTGTTGATGTTTTGGTCGGGCGCGGTGGCTCAAGCCTGTAATCCCAGCACTTTGAGAGGCGGGTGGATCACGAGGTCAAGAGACTGAGACCATCCTGGTCAACATGGTGAAACCCCGTCTCTACTAAAAATACGCTGGGCATGGTGGCACGTGCCTGTAATCCCAGCTACTCAGGAGGCTGAGGCAGGAGATTTGCCTGAACCCAGGAGGCGGAGGTTGCAGTGAGCCGAGATCGCTCCATTGCACTCCAGCCTGGGTAACAAGAGCGAAACTCCATCTCAATAAATAAATAAATAAATAAATAAACAAACAAACAAACAAACAAATAAATAAATAAAAAGAAGTTTGTTGATGTTTTTTGTGACCAGAAATATGTCACAGAAACTTAACCGTTGTGTGGTAAAATTGGTTTCATCGTGTGTCATTTCACTTAAAGTTGCAATTTCCAGGAACCTGTCAGCATTGTTAAGTGAGGACTTACTGTGTTTTCAGTAATCTTGCTTCCTTGCTAGTTGTTTTTATTCTTACAGGAGCAGGAATTTTCCATGGTGGGGGCACTTTAACTCAGAAGATAGACCTTTCTTTTTAGGATTGAGACACTGGAATGCTCCTCTGATCCACCACACAGTCAGTGTCAACTTCCGTGGCATATGAGGCACTAAAATATGGGCAGAGAGCTTGGTCATCTAGACACTGAAGTGAAAAGTGACAGCTTTTATTCATGTCATGATGCTGTTAATTTTTCTTTCCCTGTAGATTCTTCTCTCTTTTCTGACTCCTGGTGGCAACCGGCTTCGCAACCAGATCTGCGAAGTTTTGGACACAGACCTCATTAGGCAGCAGGCTGAGCACAGTGCTGTTGACATCCAAGGCCTGGCCAACTATGTCATCAGCACGATGGGAAAGCTATGTGCTCCTGTGCGAGATAACGATATCAGAGAGTTAAAGGCTACTGACAACATCGTGGAGGTGCTGAGGTTAGCATTTTTGATGTTTGCATTTTCTTAGAGTATCTTTGAGTTCATTCAGAAGGGAAGTTGGGCATTGGGGAACACATAATAACAACTAGTACCCCAAATCAATTACTGACCCTAGAAGAAAACCAGATAAACAGAGAACATGTCAATTATTTACTGTATGCAGAGAGTTTTCACATAGAATGATCTGGCAAGGTTGTTAGTTGGCATGTAGTGGGCCCTGAAAATGCAGTGATGAAAAAGAAAGATGTAATCCTTGACTCCAGGGAGTCTAATGGTGAGAAAGCCCTTGAACAATTAATTACAGTTGTGATACGTGGAAGGGGAAGTCAAGGGTCTTAACAGAGCCTCTGACAAGGTACCTAATCTAGTTGAGCCTTCTTTATTAGTTAGGGTCGCTAGCTTCTATAACATGTAAACCCTAAATTCTCAGTGGTTTATCCAATAAAGTTTGTTTCTTACTCATGTTACAGTCCAATTCAGGGGTTCTTGATCAGGCAGTTCTCCACATGTCATCCAGGGACCCAACCTCCTTTTGTGCCTGGCCCCACCCTTGCTCAGGTCCTGAGAGTCCTCTCCATTCAGCTGGTGAATGGGAAAGAGACCATGGGGAAGACATGCAATATGTAGCCACCTCAGCCCAGAAGTAACACATTCCCTTTGACCATGACTAGTCACATGATGCCACCTAGATTGAAAGGGGAGCTGAGAAAGCTAGTTACTACCTGGAAACACTTTTCGCAGCCACAGATCTGCACTGTGGGGAGGGAGCATCTGCTGGAGCTTCCCTGAGGAAGTGAGTGCAAATTATGTGAGGATCTCATCTGGCCACGTAGACAATAACTTACTTGTGATCCAAGAGGAAAGAAGAGTCTGCAACACGTTTTGCCATTGAAACAGACTTTTCTTCTTTTTTGTGTGTAGTGGCCACGTTGAGATTCGAGTTTTATGGTATTGTTTTGGAAAGTTAGGCGAAAGACCAGTCTGCCTGTAGTGAGTAATTTACTTTGTGACCTTGGGCAGGTTGATAGACTCTCAAAGTGACACATTCTTGTCTGTCAGGTGGGTGTTAGGTATCCTTAGAGTTGTGCTTGGCTCTGGCAGATTGTGATTCCTCAGTTATGGGATCCTTGCCTCTTAATTGTCTTATTACCTTAGTGAGATCTCAGATCTGTGGTGTTGATCGTGGTCATTTGTTGAGCACCTACTGGGTACCGCTGCCCCCTGCACTTTATGATCATTATCTCATTTACTGTTTAGAGCATCCCTCCAAGGTTTAGGTTGTCCTCTTTCATGGATGAGGAGACTGGGGCTCAGAGAGACTCATTAACTGTGTACACGCACAAATCTGACCAGTTGCAAAGCTGGGTTTGAGCACGGGGCTGCCTAACTCTAAAAGGAAATATTTTCCTCAGTGCCTTACTGCATTGTCCTTTCTTTTTTTAATTTTTCTTATTCCCTAAGGAATAGAAGCCATATGCCCTGTGTCCAGGCTATTTAAAATTTCAGGGGTTTTCAAATGAAAATTCCTTCTTGAATTTTTCTTATATCATTAAGATCGTTTATGCTTCAAGTAAATACTCTTGAGATCTGTGGAAGAACACATTTGCAATACACACGTGACCTTCTATGAAATATCACCCTACCAAATAGCAGCTGGAACTTCAAAACCATTTTTAGGTTGTTTATTGTTTTCAGCCTGGAACATAGATCATTGTTAATGGATTTCAGCTTAACTTCTTAACCATCTCTCTATTTTAATTCTAAAATTTGTAGACAAATATTCCATGTCCTGGACCTCATGAAAATGGACATGGCCAATTTTACAATTATGAGTCTTAGACCACACCTTCAACGCCAGTTGGTGGAATATGAGAGAAACAAGTTCCAGGAAATTCTGGAAGAAACTCCAAGTAAGTATAATATAAAGTGTATTTATATTGAAATTCGGTTAAAATGTGATGTTTTAACTTTTGACAATATATATAGTATAAAGAATTTTGGCCTTTCTATTAAACATTTTTTTTTTACCTTCTAAAAGTTGATATCACAAATTTACAGTTGTTTATTCTGTCCAGGAACTGTGCTAAGCACTATTCATTTCTTCATTCAGGATCTATTTATTGAGTGCCTCCTGTGTTTCAGACACCGCTTAAGTACAGTGGATTCTGCAGTGAACAAAATGGAATACAGTTGCAGTCCCCCAGGAGCTTACATTCTAGTAGGCAAGATAACAAACATATTATCAGGTGTATTATTAAGTGCCATGAAGAAAAATAGGATAAAGGTACAGCAATGGGTCAGAAGTGAGGACAGGGTTGTTTTTTAGATGTGATGGACTGGGAAGGTCTCTATAATAAGTAACATTTGAGTAAAGTTTGCAAAGTAGTGAGAAAAGGGCATGTAAAAATGGGGAAAAGAATGCTCTAGCCTGAGGGACTACAAGTACAAAGGCCCTAAAGCAGAAACTTGCTTATGAGTTTGACAAACACAGGGCAGACATTGTGACTGGAGTAGAGTAGGTAAGGGGAGAGTGGTAAGAGATGAGGCTGAGAGATGATAAAGGTAGGTCACATGGAGCTTTGTTGGTAAATGAGAGGAGTTTGGATTTCATTCCACATGTGGTGGAAAGTCATCAGAGAGTTTTAATCAGGGGAGCAATATCTGATTTTCATTTTTGAAGGATACTCTTGTTCCTGACTACAGAATAGATTGTGTGGGGACAAAGAGGGAAACAGAGATACCAATTAGGGTGCATTGCATTTGCTTGGGCATGAAATGATGGTGGCTTGTTCCAGCTGGTAGTGGTGGAAGGAGTGAGAAGAGACCAGATTCTGGATACATTTTGAAGGTGGAGTAATATTTGCTGAAAGTTGGCTGAGGAAGAAAAGGGTGGAGGATGATTCCAAGGTCTTTGGCCTGTACAACTAGGTGAATGGTGTTACAGTTTGAGACTGGGGAGACTAGGGGAAAGAAGGTCGGGAGATGACATGGAATCAAGAGTTCAATTTTGGCAATACGAACTTTGAGATTTCATTTGACGTCATTGTGGAGATGTCAGGCAGGCATTTAGATATGAATGACGAGTTTAGAGGAATAATGGAAACTGTATATACATTTGGGAATCATCAGTATATGTGTGATATATAAAGCCATGGAACTGGGCACTAGTTAACATATAAAATCCTTACCACATTCTAAGTACGAACTAATTTAATCCTTACAACGACTATATGAAGTTATTCCCATTTTATGGGTGCAGAAACTGAGGCATAGTGCAGTTAAGTCACTGGCCTATAGAATACACCTTAAAAGTATAGAAGCTCACCTAGGAGGGCAGCTTGGCTCCACAGTCCATGTTCCTATTCATTATATTGTGCTAAGTGAGACTACGTAGGGGGAGTGAGTGTGGATCTGAAAGAGACTGACATGAGAAACTCCAGCATCTAGAACTTGAAGTTGAGATGAGGAGGAGGATCTAGCAATGGAGATTATGAAGGAGTAGCCAGAGAAGTAGTGTGAGAGTCAGGTGAGGGGGTGTCCTGTAAGATGCATGAAGAAGGTGTTTGGAGAAAGAAGGCATGATTGGATACGACAAGTGTTGCTAAGTGGTCAAGAAAGACGCAGGCCAACTTGACCATTGGATTTGACTGTATGATGATGGTCAGTAACCTTCATGAGAATGGCTTCAGTGGATTTGTGTGCATTAAAACCAGACTGGGTCAGGCACAGTGGCTCAGGTCTGTAATTCTAGCACTTTGGGAGGCCAAGGCAGGTGGATCACCTGAGGTCAGGAGTTCAAGACCAGCCTGGCCAAAATGGTAAAACCCCATCTCTACTAAAATACAAAAATTAGCTGGGCATGATGGTGCATGCCTGTAATCCCAGCTACTCTGGAGGCTGAGACAGAAGAATCACTTGAACTCAGGAGATGGTGGTCTCATTGAGCCAAGATTGCACCACTCCTCTCCTGCCTGAGTGGCTGAGGTGAGACTCTGTCTCAACAACAACAACAACAGTCTGGAAGGGGATCAAGGAAGAATAGGAGTAGAAGAAGTCTTAGCTCATTGAATTACAGTTACCCAGTGAAGTAGCTACTGTTATCCCCTTTATTTTATAGGCAAGGAAACTAAGATGCCAGAGGTTACACAGCTGACAAGAGGCTGGCTAACTGCTCACTGGCAAACTCTTGACACCAGCCTCTGGAGTTTAACCACTCTTTAAGGCTGAGTTAGGTGGTTTCTGCCCAAATAATCAACACAGTGGCCTTATACTAAAAAGACAAAACAGGTGCCACATTTAAAGGGGCCCTGGCAGGCAGGAGCACATCCAGGGGAGAGCATACAGATCATGGAGGCCACATGAGGAACCGTCGAGAAAGCTGGGCATGTTATGCTTGGTAACAAGGAGACTCACGTGGGCCATGCATGGTACCACCCACCCTCCCTGTTGACAGTGTCTCAGAGACTGGTGAAATTCTGTAGGGCAGAATTTCCTCATGGGAGGGAGGAAGCAGACAGCCAGTTTTGATCTTCCTGACAGTTGGAGTTGTTTTGACTTTGGAATGGACCTCTCTATTATGGCAGTAGTCAGTGCTAGCTAACATTTTGTATGAGCACTTACTACATGCTCAGCCCTTACTATACCACTTTATTAGTTCATTCAAGCATGACACCAACCCTATGAGACTGGTACTGTTACCACCCCCTATTTACAATTGAGGAAAGTGTGGTTAAGGTACTTAGCCTAGGTGACTACTAGTAAGTGGTAGAGCCTGGGTAACCCAGTCGTGTTTCTGCCTTGATACTGTGAAACCCTGCCTCTCTTCAAACAAGATATCAACAGTGGGGATATTGCAGAGGGATCTCTCACATCATCTGGAAGATTATTTAGTCATCTGGATAGCCAGTTACCCAGTCACATAACTTTTCAGGATCCTTCTACAACAAAAACTAAGACTTCAAGGGCTATGTTGTTTTAGCGTCAAAGGGGAGGGAGTAAAGGGAAGTAGAACCCTACATCAAACCTGGATCTGAAACATGAACTGTGGCAACTGTCCACAGCAGCATTTTCCTGAGACTGAATGGTTGGTTTTGTTTGTGTGCATGGGTATGTAAACACATGTGCAAATGCACCCATGTCTTTAATCAAGATAGCTTGGAATCTTGAGCAAATTCTCTAATAGGGTGAATTATGATTTTGTTCATCTCAAATTATTTGCCTCTTTTATTTTTCTGTTTTTTCTGTTTGTTTTTATGAGAAAGAGTATTGCCCAGGCTGGGGTACAGTGGCATGATCATAACTAACTGTAGCCTCTAATTCTTGGACTCAAAGGATTCTCCTGTCTTGGCTTCCCAAGTAGCTAGGACTATAGTCATGTGCCACCACACCTGGCTAATTTTTAAAACATTTTTGTAGAGATGGGGGTCTCACTGTGTTGTCCAGGCTGGTCTCTAACTCCTGGCTTCTCCCTGCCTTGGCCTCTCAAGTTACTGGGATTTCAGGTATGAACCACTGAACCTGGCTTGCTTCTCTTTTTAAAACCCAGGCTAGTGACCTGTAATCCATTTGCACCTTTTCTATTGACGTGGATATTTTCAGAGATTTAAGAATAGAGCAAACCCAGCTTTGCATATAGGTCATTATTGCTCAGCAAGAGAAATCAAGAGTCCCAGAAGCAGAGTGTATGTCAGCTGTTAATTATGTCCCCAAGTCACTCTGCCAAAAGTTGGTCCCTGTGCCCTAATATCAAAATAAGAGCCTCATAGTATCACACAGAAGGACGAGTGTTAGCTTTCTGTGTACACATAATTATATAAGAATTATTAGAAAATTAATACAGAGAAGTACTCTAGATTTCTGAATTGGTTCCAGGAAAATACCATATTTTGCCTAAGAGGAGATTTTATATAATTGCATATTTTAAATATAGCCAGGAAAACCTTAGGAATGATTGTTTGTACTTAGTAAGCAGCAACAAGATAACCACATTAGATCCAACATGTAAATTATCTGTGAAAAGAATAAGAGATTATCTTTGGGTGGGGGCCATAAGTACTTTTTAAGATACTCAGAAAGAAAGGTTTCATTTAGATAATACCTTATATCTCATCAAATGTTTTAATGAACTTTATTTCATGTTATTCTTTAAAAATTTCTATGGGACATAAATATCTCTTTCAGAATATATGAAACTCTATTGTGATTGCTTTTGGCTGTCACATAAGGCATTCAAGAAATATTTATGGAACATTTTAAAGAAGAGCAAACTTATGCTCAGCAATGACCTCCTTAGACTCAGAGTCATTCAGCTAAATAAACAGTGGAGTCCAGGCATGGTGGCTTACTCCTGTGATCCCAGCACTTCGGGAGGCCAAGGCAGGCAGATCACAAGGTCAGGACATCGAGACCATCCTAGGCAACACGGTGAAACCCCTTCTTTACTGAAAATACAAAAATTAGCCAGGTGTAGTGGCATGGGCCTGTAGTCCCAGCTACTTAGGAGGCTGAGGCAGGAGAATTGCTTGAACCTGGGAGGCAGAGGCTGCAGTGAGCCGAGATTGCACCAACTGCACTCCAGCCTGGGCTACAGAGCGAGACTCTGTCTCAAAACAAAACAAACAGACAGTTGAGCTAGGACTGGGAACTAGGTCTCCCAAATCCAAGTCCAGATTAAACCAGGCTGCTACTTTTTCAGCCTTCCTTGAACTTTTCAGTTTTGTGTTATATTACCTGAGTTGTATTGCAAGCAACAGAAACCAACTTCAGCTGACTTAGCCAAAGGGTAGTGAGTGGAAGGATGGAGGAAATTCACAGAATCCAAGGAAAAGCCAAAATAACAGAAATCAGAAGAGTGTCATGAATCTGGACAGGAAAAATCAAGGAATAGGAGGGCTCCATTGTCACGATGGTTACTGTGGGCGGCAAACACGGGCCATCCTTGAACACTCTCACCACTTAGATCCCGGGAAGGAGTCTGTGGACACATGACTCCACTTGGCCAGCCCCTGGTCAGGAAGACAGGGCCTCTGAATTGAGACTCACAAAGGAAAACATGGAACCAGAGAAAATGGTTTCTCAGAGAAAACCAGCACCAAAAGAAAGGAAACTGAGACTTTGCTAGGCAGATGTCATGGATAAGGAAACTACATTTTTCGAATGGAAAATGGGGATAGAAGCACCTGTAATGCCATTGCTTGTTCCGGTGTCTGTCTATCCCTCCTATTAGACTAGGAACTTCTTGAGTGCGGGGATTGTGCTTATTCACCTTCAAATCCCCAGTACTTGGTACAATACCTGGGATTGAGTAGGTGCTCAGTAGTTTTCGTTGAATAAACAAATTAGGGGAAAAACTCTTAACCCTGTGCCCAGGAAATGCTGAGGTTGTAGGTGCCTCATGAAGGTGACCTTGCTTTGGAGCCACAAAGTCACCGAGCCAGCATGTGAAGTCTCTGCAGATCCCTTAGAGAAAAGCCAATGTTTCACTCAAACCGCATGCTCCTTCTGCTTCACCAGTCGTACTCAAGTGAGACTAAAAATTAGAATCATTTGCCAAATGTGGGTGAAGGGGAGAAGAAAAGCAAAGCACACTGCCATGTGTGTACCTACGCAACTGTCTTGCATGCTCTGCTCATGTACCCCAAAACCTAAAATCCAATAAAAAATTAAAAAAAAAAAAAAAAAAAGAAAAACATGTCAAAACCTGAAAAAAAAAAAAAATAAATAAAAGTGCAATTTACATTAAAAAAAAAAAATTAGAATCATGTGGAGTGTTTAAGCTGAGGCCTGAGCCCTGCCTCAGACAGAATAAATCAAAGTCTCCAGGAGCTGTGCTCATGAACATTTTTTTCTCTTTAAAGCTCCCTAGGTGATTCTAAAATCAGCCAGGATTGAGAACCACTATGCCACACTGTTGCTTTTGTTCAGGATAACTAAATGGGCTTTTAAAAGTGTCAGCTGTAAATGATTAAATTTGCAGTATAAATGCTTATTACCACCACATTGTAATTATATTCATGATGATTTCCACTCACTCTCTCTCAGTTGGATGTCTTTTAAATGAAAGACTGCAAGTCTTTTACATCTTTATAAACAGAACTAGCAAACCAAAAACAACATTTGCCAACTGAGGAGAAACAGAGTTGTGAAGTTCTGGGGGTGGTGTTGCTATAGCGGAGCAAACAGAACTACTCATAAATCATCCCTATTCAAGTGCTGGGTCTGAGGAAGAATTTCAATCTGTTTCTCTCTATCTCTCTCTCTCTCTCTCTCTCTCTCGTCTGCACCTGTGTTCAGGCTGTATTTCTTGGCAATTATAAATTCTACCAAATACATAGTTTTATAAGTACTGGCATATAAAAAGCAATTTGTTTCTAGTGGTTAACCTTAGAGAACTGGGTCTAAAGCAAAATAAAGTGAATTTTGCCCTAAGACAGACAAGGCCCAGCAGAGAGTTACTGCCTCCAAACTTTAAGCCTTCTGGAATAGCCTTATCTTGTCAAATTTCATTTAGTTCATGATGGAAGAGACATTATTCAAAGTCAGAATAACTACGCATGAACAAAGGTAAGGAAACACTATTTGTCATCTTAAGTCAGTGGTTCTTAATGTGGTTCTCTTAGGGGTGATTTTGCCACTGGCCCCCACCCCACAACATTTAGTTGTGTCTGGAGACACTTTTGGTTGTTTCATCCTGACAGGGCGGGGGGTGAGGGGGCTATGGAAGGGCATCCAGTAGGTAGAGCTTAGGGATGTTGCTAAACATTGTATAGTGAACAGGACAGCACCCAGCAATGAACAATTATCCAGCCCAAAATGTCAGTAGTGCTGAGGTTAAGACCCTAAATAAAGGATTAGAATGAATCCATTTCATGATGGCTCAAGGAACCATCTTCATACTCCAGGGAAATTTAGGCTCCAATAAACAAGGAAGTTCGGTGGCCATTGAGCACTTGGGGGATGTTTTGTGTTTGGAATCAGTGTGATTTCAGCTAGTCATGGTTGCTGGTGTGTGCTTTCTTCTTGCCTTCTTTCCATTGTCTGGAGGGGGCTGTTTCCACTTGCAGAAGCGAGCCTTGCAGAGGCACCTTTTGGAGCAACTGCGTGTGAGTTGTTAAATAGAAACTACTAATATCAAGGGAATTCTGCTAATAGTAACTATTAGGCACCTAATAACCTATATTATAGTAATATTTAGGTGCCATATGCTTAAAAATGAAATGACTTCAAGTATAAAACCTCATTTCCAGGGATACATATTTTTAATCCAGAAGAATTGACCTTGATAAACTTGTCTAAAGTGGAAAGACAGTCTAACTGGACATTGACACACAGTCTTTGAGGTCAAATTAAATATGAGACTCAAGTTCAGTGATTTCTTCCCCACTACTTCCCTCTCCCCCTCCCATCTTGACTTCTGGAATAGCACTTTCCGAATACCAGGGATCTTACCGCATGAACTAGATTTTCAGTTTCTTCATGTTTTCTAGATAACATCTCCTTTAAAGCATTGGCTTTTCTTTAAGGGGGATCTGCTGAGATTCTGCTCTCTCGAGCTAGCACACTAACTGGTATTTACAAAAAAAGAAAGAAAGCCAAGAAGCCAAGTTCCCCAAAAAAGCTCATTTTAACCAAGCCACAGCTTAGCCTACTCACTCTTTTTATTCCATGGGTGATCACTTTGTCTGAGGCAACTTCAATAATAAGGCAGCTGTTGTGTATCAGGTGGAGAACCAGGCTGGGCCCTCTAGAAACAATAATCCCCCCCTTTAAAGGTTTTTACAGAGTTAAATGAGTGAATATTAACAATTGCTAATACTTAATGGACATTTCCTTTGTGTCAGAAATGCTTCTAAGTGTTTTGCATGTAATAATTTGTTGACTCTTTACCACAACTGCAGGAAGAATACTATTATCCCCAATTCACAGACCAGGAAACTGAGAAGACATTAGGTAACCCGCCCAAGGCATGCAGCTAATGAGGGGTAAAGGCTAGACTGAAGTTGAGACTGCCTGGATCAGATGCCACACTCCCAACTATTGCAGCAGCCACTTACTGCATGGGGGAGCCTAGCGCAAGTTCTTAGTCACATGTTAATTGCTTTGATATTAGGTTGCACTAAGTTGAGATTCATTCATCTGCAATGCAGAGGTTGCACTGCAGAGGTTGCACTGCCTTGAAATTCATTCATCTGCAATGCAAATTTGACTCCTCAGTCAAGCTGCTGCTTCATTCTCCCTCTTGCTTTCTAAACTCCGTTATGGAACAGACTGTTGCTGATCAGTGCCTTTGCACTGCAACTTATGTTTGTGTTCTTGTCAAATCTGTTTGAAGGAATAAATGTAAAAGACTTGTCTGCCTAATTATACTGGCCTCTGACAGATAATTAGTTTTAGAAATGGACACTGTCAGTTGTATGCTGGATGTGGTTGGTACAAATGTGTGGGAGCCATTTGCTATACTTAAAGGAATTTTGTGAGCTAGTAAACACAGCCATTGCTAAAAATTAAGTTATCTAAATTTACAATTAAATATATTTTTAAAAAGGTAAAACTCTGGGAAATCATTAGGCAGTTTCTTATTAAACACATCTACAACCTAGCAATTGCAATACTGAGTCTTTATCTCCAAGAATTGTAAACTTATATTCACATATTCATTCAAATAATCATAATAGCCTTACTTATATAGCCCCAAACTAGAAACAACCAAAATGGCTTTCAACAGGTAAATGGGTGAACTGTGGTATAACCATACAACAGAATACTACTCAGTAATGAAAAGGAATGAACTATTGATACACACAACTTGGATGGATGCTCAGAAAACAAAGCCAATCTCAAGAATCATTTTATTGGTCTGCTCAGGCTGCCATAACAAAATACGACAGACTGGGTGGCTTAAACAATATTAGTGTATTTTTCACTGTTCTCAAGACTGAAAGTCCAAAATGAAGGTGCAAGCTAATTTGGTTACTGATGAGGGCTTTCTTGGCACTTTGGACAGCCACCTTCTTAATTTTCACATGCCTATTTCTCAGTGTGTGCAGATGGAAAGAGAGAGAGGAAGCTCTCTCTCATCTCCTCTTCTAAGGGTACCCACCCTTATGACCTCATCTAACCCTAATTACCTCCCAAAGTCTCCATCTCCAAATGTCATCACAGTGGAACTTAAGACTTCCTCATAGGAATTTGAGTGGCAGGTGGATACAAACAGTCCATAACAGCTACATATTGCATGATTATATTTACATAATGTTCTTGAAGTGACACAGTTATGGTGATTAGTGCTTACCAGAGGCTAGGGTTGAGATGAGAGCGTGTCTACCGGGAGGTAACATGTGGAGATATTTTATGATGATGGAATAGTTCAGTATCCTGATAATTACATGAATCCACATAAGTAATAAAATTTCTTAGAACCATACACACACAAAGAATGCATGTAAAAACTGATAAAAATCAGTATGTAAGTATTGTACCCATGTCAGTTTCCTGATTTTGACAATATACTGGAGTTATTTAAGATGCTGTCATTGGGGGAAGCTGGGTGAAGGGTAGGAACTGTCTGTACTACTTTCACAACTGCTTAGGTCTTTTATTTTGTAATAGTTTAAGCTGTTTCAAAATTTAAAAGTTATTTTTAAATCCCTAAAAAGAATCAACTGTGATACATAGACAATGTGGTTAAACGTCAGAAACACTATGCTAGGTACTTTATGATTCCATTTATGTGAATTTCTTTTTTTTTGAGATGGAGTTTCGCTCTTGTTACCCAGGCTGGAGTGCAATGGCGCAATCTCGGCTCACTGTAACCCCCGCCTCCTGGGTTCACGCAATTCTCCTGCCTCAGCCTCCCGAGTAGCTGGGATTACAGGCATGCGCCACCATGCCCAGCTAATTTTTTGTATTTTTAGTAGAGATGGGGTTTCACCATGTTGACCAGGATGGTCTCGATCTCTTGACCTCGTGATCCACCCGCCTCGGCCTCCCAAAGTGCTGGGATTACAGGCTTGAGCCACCACGCCCGGCCCTATGTGAGTTTCTAGAAGGCAAACTAATTCATGCAGTTAGGAGTTAAAAGTAGTTGAGTGAGGTACACTTCGACTGGAAAGGGAGAGAAGGGAACCTTGTGGGTTAATGGATATGGTCTATGGCTTGTTTTAGGTGGTAGTTGTACAGGTATATAGAGTAGGTAAAACTCACCAAACTGAACACTTAAGAGTTGAACATTTTATTATATGAATTTATTATGTCTGTAAATATAAACATATCTACATGTGTGAAAAAAATAATTATGAAAAAGTAAAGGTAAACAAATACTAAAAACTCATCACTTCCAAATTATCTTACTACTGTCTATAGTCTTGAAATTAAAGAACCTCAAGACTGTACATATAACAGGTATGAAGTACCTGTTGTATCTGGATGATGGATACACTGTGTAGCAGTGTGCTACACTGAGCATCTCTGCTCAACCTCATATCTAGTGACTCTCTCATTTGCTCTTTCAACAAATGAGGAAATCAAAAGCTCAGGAGACAAGTGAGGGCTAGAGATACAGATTTGGGAGCCTTCTGGGGTATGGACAGAAATAGAAACCATAGGAATGACTAAGATGGTCTGGTGAGATGGAAGAGTACCAAATCAATGGAGATCAGGTAGAATGCTTGGATGCATCAACATTAAAAAATAGGCAGAGGAACATCTTCCTGTAATTGAAGGGAGATGCACCTGTCTTCTCATCTTGTCTTCTCAATCCAGGTATGAGATGCAGAAGCACAGCTAGGGGAAACCAGGTCAGAGTGGTGTCAGAGAGGCCAGGAAAATAGTTTCAGAGGGCTGTACTAAGAGATGCCTGTATTACAAAGGTATTTAGAAAATATAGGAAGGACGTGTTTGTTGTATTTGACAACCAGAAGATTGGTGGTAGCCTTAGAAAAGTTATGTGAAGGGTTTATTTCAGAACCTTTCTAGCCTATATTCCATATCTTGGTAGATGACACAGGCATTCATTTAGATGTCCAAGAAATCTGGGAGTCATCCTAGAATACTCCTTTCTAACTCTCCACATGTAACTGGTCACCAAGACCTGTGAGTGATCCCCCTAAATATTTCTCACTTTTCTTCTCTTTACCCCTCACTTCTACTGTTCTTGTCCATTTACTCTCTTGTCTGAACCACCACAACAATTTACACTCTCCACTAGTTCAGTCTTTCTTTTCAAGCAATTTTTCTTGGGCCGAGATCACCCACTGTACTCTGGCCTGGGTGACAGAGCGAGACTCTGTCTCAAAAAAAAAAAAAAAAAAAAAAAGGCCAGGCACTGTGGCTCACACCCGTAATCCCAACACTTTGGGAGGCAAGGTAGGTGGATCAAGAAGTCAAGAGATTGAAACCATCCCGGTTAACATGGTGAAACCCCATCTCTACTAAAAATACAAAAATTAGCTGGGAGTGGTGGCATGTGCTTGTAGTCTCAGCTACTCGGGAGGCTGAGGCAGGAGAATCGCTTGAACCCAGGAGGCAGAGGTTGCAGCGAGCCAAGATCGCATCACTATGCTCCAGCCTAAGTGATAGAGCGAGACTCCATCTCAAAAAAAAAAAAAAGGAAAAAAGAAAATAATATTTAAAACTCCCCATTCCCCATCACTGATGTTTGTAACCTGGGAACTATGAATCTGGTAAGAGAGAATGACAATTGTTTGTGGACATGTGCACGTGAGCAAGCACATTCATCTTGGGAAAGACATATCTCTAATTAGATGTTAAAAGTGGCCCCAAGACTCAAAAATTTGTAACAGTTATACTGTTTCCTCTTCAGATGCTATAAATCTTTCACCTTTTACCAAAATTGTGTAAAAATTAATGTCTTTATTTATTTTTTTTTTTTTTTGAGACGGAGTTTCGCTCTTGTTACCCAGGCTGGAGTGCAATGGCGCAATCTCGGCTCACCGCAACCTCCGCCCCCTGGGTTCAGGCAATTCTCCTGCCTCAGCCTCCTGAGTAGCTGGGATTACAGGCACGCGCCACCATGCCCAGCTAATTTTTTGTAATTTTTAGTAGAGACGGGGTTTCACCATGTTGACCAGGATGGTCTCGATCTCTTGACCTCGTGATCCACCCGCCTCGGCCTCCCAAAGTGCTGGGATTACAGGCTTGAGCCACCGCGCCCGGCCAATGTCTTTATTTTAAATACCTTCTCTGCACAAACTCAAGGCTGGCTTCTAAACTACCCATCCAATGCCATCTACTACAACCCTCTTACCCCTAGTTCTTTATGGATCAGCAATACAGATTTATTTGTGGCATCCAGAATGTGGCATCTAGAATGTGCCAGATACTCTCTTTTCTAGAGCACGTACAGAGCTCTTCCTCTTTGATTCTTTCCTGGACAGCTTCTTCTCCCACAATTACTAGTATTAATTGTACTCTAATTGTTAGTTTACAGGTCTGTCTTTCCATCTGGACTATAAACTCCTTGCAGGGCATGGCTGTGACTTTTCATTCATGCCCAGCACCCAACACAGCATCTGTTAAGTGAATACACCAGTGAAGGGATCAATCAGCCGTAGAACAAATATGTGGCCTTTTCTCTCTTAGGTGCTCTTGATCAGACTACAGAATGGATAAAAGAATCTGTAAATGAAGAATTATTTTCTCTTTCTGAGAGTGCTTTAACTCCTGGGGCCGAAAATACCTCCAAGCCAAGCCTGAGCCCTACTTTGGTGCTAAATAATAGTTACTTGAAACTGTTACAGTGGGATTATCAGAAAAAAGAATTACCAGAGGTGAGTGACTTTGTTTTCCCCCAAAATTTCCCAGCAGTTTAATTCTTACTAACTTTGAATCATCTGGTCTGTGTTTCCTGTGGTGTAATGATTTTACAAAAATCAGGTAAAAATGGGAATTTGGAAATGACATTGCTTATTTTTTATTTTCATGATATTGAGCTACCCTTTCTATTTTTATTTTTTAAATAAACATGTCAGACACTCATGACAGATGGAGCACGTCTTCAGGAACTGACAGAAAAGCTGAATCAATTGAAAGTTATTGCCTGCCTGTCTCTAATTACCAACAACATGGTGGGTGCTGTTATAGGAGGCCTGCCTGAGTTTGCAAACAGGTTAAAAAGGATTTCAGCTGTTCTCCTTGAAGGCATGAACAAAGAGTAAGTTCCAAATGTTTGCATCTGCTCCCTCTTGTATTAAGGCTCTGCATGCGTCTCAGAGAACAAGAATAACATTGGACATCTGGATGTGAAATTAAGGACTGTGCTTTAGAGAAGCTTGTCTTACACCTTCTTCTTCTAGAATTTCCTTTAATATCTCTGAAGGCTTAGATGTCCTCTCATAGGAAGGGAGAGGTGTTTTCCATGACAAGTGCCAGGGCGAGTATAGTATTTCCACTTACAATGAATGTGTACAACAGCTTTTGTTTGACAGTGCTTTGGAAAAAACAAACAAAACACAGAATCCACCAAGCCCGGTGTTTAGAACTGTGCTATCAAAGAGGGCATTCCAGGTGTAGTTGTTTTGACTTCATCATTGTTCTGCAATGAAACATTTACTGACTTCACAAATCCACCTTGCTGCAAAGTCTTAAGAAGCATTGACAATTCTGCCTTTCAGAGATGTGACACAAGTCCAGTGAAGATTTCAGTTTTTGCTAAATTTATCTCCAGTATTACACCTTCATGAATGCTGGAATCCCATTTAGGTTTTGTATTTACATCATTCCATACGAATTCCTATCCAAGTCAGAAAATTCTTAGTCTTGGTGAATGGCCACATGGTTTCATGGGTCTCATATGGGTCAGCTTCTCCTATGGGTTCCTCTTTCAGGTGTCTTCAGAGACATATCCTCTTTATTCCTGTAATTGAAGGGAGATGCACCTGTCTTCTCATCCTCCCACCTATTATTCAGGGAGCGCATAAATGACTTGATCAAATCCTAGACTATTAAGAGCCAAAAGGAGTCCAAGAAGTGCCAACTACTTGGGGACTACAACTACTCCAAAAGGAGCCCGAGAAGTGCCAACTTCTCGGCCAGGCACGGTGGCTCACGCCTGTAATCTCAGCACTTTGGGAGGCCGAGGTGGGCAGATCACTTGAGGTTGGGAGTTTGAGACCAGCCTGACCAACATGGAGAAACCCTGTCTCTATTAAAAAAAAAAAAAAAAAAAAAGAATCCAACTGAAGCTTAGAGACAGAATAGAATTTGCCTTGGGCTACACAGCTAGAAAAGGGCAGACCAAGGACTGAGCCCTGATCCGACCTTTCTCTGGATTCTGATGCTCACCTGCTGGGGTCATTCCAGGACCCAAGACCTATAATGAAAGGAAACCTCTGATTTTGCAGTTGGTCCTACCATTTTCCTGCACGGGTAATCATTAATTTCCAGATACTTTTATTTATTAAGCCCTTAGAGAACACCCAGTGCTGCTTAAATGTTGCCATAAGTGTACAGAAGTGGTTACTAAGAAGACAGGCTTTTGGGTCAGACAGACCAGGGTTTAAATCCCAGCTCTGCTATTGACTTATTATGAACACTTGAATACATTCTCAAATTACTATGAGCCTGACTTCCTCACTTGTAAAAGGGAATAATAACTGTATTAATATCTACCTTGGAGTTGTGAGAATTTAAAATGATTCATGTACAGGTGTCTGGCACATAACATGTACTCAATAAATACTAGCTATTAATAACTAGGCATTAAATCATCCTCTGTATAATTTTATCTGGTTGTTTTATTGTTTTAATTTTTTCCCATGTTAGGAAATAAATACAGTCAATTCTCAATTATCCTCATTTTGGACAGGGCAATAGCATTCATAGTATACAAAAGGGATAATACTAAATAGTAGGCCAAGATGTCATTTATATTTTGGTTTGATGATGCATTTTGAAAACTAGAAAGAGTTTTTCCCTTCTCATTGTGAATAGAAGGTATGGCTTATGCTAAAACAACTTTTTTTTAAGAGCTGAAAGATTATTCATTTATTGATAGATTTTTAATTTTTTTCCCTTTTTCAACTTTTATTTTAGGTTCAGGGGCACATGTACAGGTTTTTTACATGGATAAATTGTGGATCGCTGGGGTTTGGTGTACCAGTGATTTCACCACCCAGGTAGTGAGCATAGCTCGTTTTAACCCTCCTCCTCCCCCACACCTCCACCTTTAAGTGTAGGCCCTGGTATCTGTTGTTCCCCTTTATGTCCATGTTTACTCAGTGTCTGGCTCCCACTCATAAGCAAGAACATGTGGTATTTTGTTTTCTGTTTCTGAATTAATTCACTTAGGATAATGGTTTCCATCTTTACCCATGTTGCTGAAAAGAACATGATCTTATTCTTTTTATGGCTATATAGTATTCCATGATGTATATATACCATATTTTCTTTATCCAGTCCACCATTGATGGGCATCTAGGTTGATTCCATGTCTTTGCTGTTGTGAATAGTGTTGCAATGAACTAAGAGTACATGTGTCTTTTTGATGGAGCGATTTCTATTTCTTTGGGAATAAACCTAGTAATGGGATTGCCGAGTCGAATGGTAGTTTTGTTTTAAGTTCTTTTAGAAATCTCCAAACTGCGTTCCACAGTGGCTGAACTAGTTTACATTCCCACCAGCAGTGTGTAAGTGTTCTCCTTCCTCTGCAACCTTGCCAGAATCTGTTGTTTTCTGACTTTTTAATCATAGCTATTCAGGCTGGGCACAGTGGTTCACCCCTGTAATGCTAGCATTCTGGGAAGCCAAGTCGGGCAGATCACTTGAGGTCAGGAGTTTAAGACTAGCCTGCCCAAGATGGCGAAACCCTGTTTCTACAAAAAATACAAAAAAGAAAAAAATTAGCCGGTCATGGTGGTGCATGCCTGTAGTCCCAGCTATTCGGGAAGGTGAGGCAGGAAAATTGCTTGAACCTGGGAGGTGGAGGTTCCGGTGAGTCAAGAGTGTGCCACAGTATTCCAGCCTGGGTGATGGAGTGAGACTCCATCTCAAAAAAATAATAATAATAACCATTCAGACTGGTATGAGATGATATCTTACTGTGGTTTTGATTTGCATTTCTCTAATTTCTCTAATGATTAGTGATGTTGAGCATTTTTTCAGATGCTTTTTGGCTATATGTATGTCTTATTTTGAGAAGTATCTGTTCATGTCCTTTTTTTTAATGAGGTAGTTTTTTGCTTGTTGAGTGTTTAAGTTCCTTATAGATTCTAGATATTAGACCTTTGTCAAATGCATAGTTTGCAAATATTTTCTCCCATTCTGTAGGCTGTTTACATTGTGATGGTTTCTTTTGCTATGAATAAGCTCTTCAGTTTAATTAGGTCCCACTGGTCTGTTTTTGTTTTTGTTGCATTTGCTTTTGGACAATTCATCGTGAAATCTTTCCCAAGGCCTATGTCCATAATAGTATTTCCTGGATCTTCCTTTAGGGTTTTTAAATGTCTTATAGTTAAGTCTTGTATTGATCTTTGTATATGGTGAAAGGAAGGGGTCCAGTATCAATTTTCTGCATATGGCTAGCCAGCTTCTTATTTTAGCCTAAGAACTCACTGATTAAAAGCAAGAAAAAGCTAGAGCACTAGCTTGTAGTGGATAAAAAGTCAGAAGATAAAATTCTTAACACTATCAGTCTATCCTTGAGTTTGCAGAACTCCAAAGTCAGGTCCAGTGTGGGCTTTTAACAAATTCCAATCAATGCAGAACACTAATAACTTATTTCTTATTGCTGTTAATGATGATAAACATAATAACCCATTTTTCTCTTTGTCGTCTTCTTCTATGTGCCCGACCATCTGCTAAGAGCTAATTATTAGTCACATAGCAATTTC